GGTAGAGGACATTATCCTAATGTTTCAGCTTTCTAGCTTTTCTCGTTCCCGAGTCAGCAACTTTCCCGCCAAAACTTCCACGTACTCGTTCGCGGTCAGACGTGCGTGAGAGTTGATACCGCGGTCCTGGGGTGGCAGCTGGCTGAGGGACACACTGGCAAAATTTCAGCTTCAAAGCTTGCGTGGCTAGCGAGTCGAAATACCCGGACAGACGACACACAAACATACACACACACACACACACACATACACTGACAGGGTCGTTGCAATATGTGTTTTTGCTGCCTGTTGCAGCGCTGCAGCGCTGCTCGGCAAAAACGCATAAAAACCACTTATTTAACAAGAAGCGTAACGGCCTGAAAAATTATCGTGCGATCTGCCTGCTCTCTACTCAAATTTACAAGCCACTCTCATGAGTAATTGCTAACCGGCCAACAAAACTCCTCCACGAGTATTGGCAGGTAGGCAGCTGCATTTTCGTAGAAGTTATAGCGCAACTCGGAGCGATTTTCATTTTAAATTAGCTTCTGGAGCGTAGAGGAACATCCGTCGCAAGAGCATAAAATTCGTGAATATTCAAATATTGCTGTTCTTTTCTATTGCATTCTTCTGCTGACATATTTCGCAACAAAACTACATTTGAGGTAAAAAATCTTCACAGCGGTTCCCCGAAACTGCACCATTGTAGGGACCAGAAAGCGGACCCTAAAATCAGTAGTAGCTTGCTCAAAATTTCCCGCTCAGAAACTCCGTATATGAAACTCAGTTTTTTCTTTCGGGTACTTCTTATGTGACGCTGCAATTTGCGCCAGTACATGTTTTCAAACAGTCTTGGTGGCCAGTCTCAGTTCTATTGGTTAGAGGATCTGCCGGAAAAAAAGTGCCGTTAGCGATAAAAACCTACGGGGATTTATTGGAAAAAACGCATCTCCGCACCGTCAATGGGTGCACTGGCCAATTATACATCTCTTTAAATCGACATAGCTTTTCGGTTTACCGCTCGAATGCAATTTCTGCTTAGCAGAACAGA